AAGGGCTGTTATGGTGATGATGATGATGATGGTGATGAACATGTATCAACAAATCAAATTAAATCAAATTCTATATTGTATCTACCATGAGCAACCAAAAATATTTTGTAATTAAACGAACCATCATTATACCATGTTATGTGGTGCAAATGAAACATAAAGACAAAACGATAAAAATTAAATAATAAAAAAATTTCACTATCCCAATTTCAAATACTAACGATGATTTCCAGTCAGAAAATTTAAATCATATTTATTTTTCACTTTCAAATAGTATGTAATTAATTCAATTAATCAAAAGGCATTATAATTAGCATCTTGTTGTTATTTGGATATAAACTACTAAACGTATTTAAAAATATGATAATTTTTATTTCTTGATACAGATCATAGGTCATTGGTTATCTTATACTTACAGCACAAGTAACATATTACAGCTACTCGTATTATCACATATATATTTTATATTTTATTTTGTCAAAACTCATCTCTTCGCCGAGACCGGTAATTTATGCTTGTCATCTGAAATTGACTACCCAAAGAATAAGTAGTCATAATTGTACGAAAAACATATAAGCAATCAAGCAACTAATAAACTCATACTTACATCATACAACCGTAATTATAAGATGGAAGGTCAGATATCCGAAACAAATTCATACTCTAGAATAATACGAGTAACCAGAAATTGGTCACAGCTGGAAATCAATAGAAATCAATACTAACGATTCACTAAATAGACAGAGAATTCTCATTTAGGAATGCTATGATAAGGGGTGCTTGCAAATAATAAAAAATAACGTAACATATACGTATTTTTTATTTTTTGAACATAAGACGCTTTTATTAGCTTCGCATGTATCTATATATGTAAGTGTAATTATAACCGACTTAAAGGTTTGCAGTTAGTAGCCTGATCGGAATCAGCAGGATAATTTTTTTTTAATTATTATGACCTAGTATTCTCACTAGGGTCATTACAGCCAATGATCAATGCGTGTTGTTTAAGTTTATAAAATTAATATTTTATTATATTTAAAGTACATAATAGTTTAGTCATTATACATTAAAACAAACAAAGTAAACATAGTCTGAAGAATAATATTTTATTATTTCTCTGGTAGTCAAATAGATAGTTTAGAATTGACTTACGTGAATAATACGGTAACAGAACGAATAAAATATTTTGTACTCGTATATGCGGTTATTTGTCTTTCGCAAATCTGATTCAAAGACAATTTACCCTTCATAAAGATACATCGGGAGACACTCAATATAAAAAAAAAACTGACATAATATAAACATGCACATTATAGAGGTAGGGTTCCGTAGTTGCCCGTCACATTACGTGGGCTTCTTGATACTCATTATATTATTAAGTGAGTTTGGGGTTTGACTGCTATAACCAATAAAATGGGTTCAAATAGGAAGATGGTAACTGAAGGCCTTAGTTTCAAATCAGACTTATAGGCAGTGGTATTCAAAAAAGATATTAAAAAACCTTTCGATTTTGTAAATAATACAATATCAAATCTTTCACATGCCAAGGTATCTTTAATTATATTCCCGGTACGGCAACCCTAAAATATATATTTTATACGTGGTAGTGCCATGATGCAGCCATATTTGTAGTATAGTTGTAGCACGAATGGGTCAGCTCGACCGGGAAAGGACCACGCTCTCACAAAATACCAGCGTAAAATGGCAGCTTGACACTACTGTGTTTCGTAAGGTGAGTGTAGAGAACCGGAGACCTATTTTACTGGAAAAGAGGCATTCCATGTTAGTCTTCACGGGTGACGACGCATCTACAGTTTTATTCTTTATTTGGGGATAAATGTAGATGTCTATGGGTCACAGCAACCATTTACCATCAGGTGGACTGTGTGCTCGTTTGTCACCCTCTCCTATAAAAAATGTATATATGACCATAAAGAACCTTCACATAAACCACCATTGTCCTTAAGATATTATCCCGAGGTCACCCGTGTTAGATTTATAAAAATGTAGAGTCACAAAGATAAGTCTTTATATTAAATGTCAGGTTACGTGAAAAGTCTTCAGAATAGAATAGAATTGAATTTTATTCAATGTTGTACTTTTACCACTGCACTGGTTCGAAGAAAACCTCTGCCCTGTGAAGAACCAGCAAGAAACCCAACGGGACATTTCTTTTAAATAAAGTATAATGTTTAGAATATGTTGCCTTATACAATTAATATGAACAAACACACAATACATAATTCCGAAATACACAGGTCTCAAAATGGCACTAACATTTTAAAGATATCGTATAATAACAAAATACATAAGTAACTTAGCTTTAGTATTCCGGTCCGATAAAATAGGTTACTTAACTTAGGAGCCTTTCGGTTCCTTACTGCAGACTGGCAGATTTACCCTTTTTACTTGTTTACTTGTTGACAGTTATGAATATAGATAAGCTAATATAATCGGGAGGTTATGAAACAACTCCCCGATCTATTCCTCACAGCCTACCTTTATACAGATCAATGTTAAATTGGCCGTAAGCTGACAAGCTGTTACTATTTAATTGTAATTTATTTATTGTTATTAAATTATCCTATAAATTCAACAAATGACAGTAGTTATTTAAGTAATTAGTCAGTCCTTAATTATTTGATAAGCTAGTCAACCAAGAACGGGATATCATGAAAAAACTTAATTTCAATTGTAAGTACAAACAATCTCGTTTTGTGGGTGATTGGTAAAATAAAATATATCAACTACCTTACAAACCAATTATTAAATTACCTGACTATTATAGAGTCTATAATAATCTAACAACCGCGTAAACCAAGAGTGTGACGAATGAAACTGTATGAGGCTATATGATTGTATGAATACTTTGAATGAGGCCTACAATAACTACCACTACAATAAGTAATAAAAAATAAGTGAAAGTAGTAAGTAAGTAAGAAAGATCTACGTTGTCTATCCCGCAAATGAAAAAGTAAAGCTAAAGTAGTAATGCATATAAGTCGTTTTCTTCATAAAATGTTTTTTTAAAGTTTACAATAACATTACAAAGTTATAATGCAGCTAATTTTAAGTAAGTTTTCTTTGGAGTTGTTACTAATCCAAATGCATTTTATAAGTTGGGGTTCGTAATTTTACTGTGATAGTTTTCCTCTTAACTTTATTATACATACTGATACTTATAATACTAATACTTTTCACAATTCTAACAATAGCGGTTTAGTTGGTAGAGGGGGAAGGGGGGGACATGACCCTAATGAAAAATACCACTTTAAAGCTAAATATTTCGTAAACGGATCCCTGAAACGAAAAGATGTTGTGCCAAGCCCCTAGTGTTTTTGAAAGACCTATCCAACGATACCCCACACGATTGATGGAATAGACGGGTAAAAAAAATCATCCACCGTTTTCACACTTGTATGGGAAGTACCCAAAATATTTTTTTTAGTTTCAGCAGTTTTCTAGGTGTGAATAATATATATATATATAACTATGTCAAATTACAGATTTGTAGCGTCTAGGGTCTCTGAGTAAAACCGCAGACGGACGGACGGAGGGACATGGCGAAACTATAAGAGTTCCTTGTTGTGTAACTACGGAACCCTAAAAGTGATAGGTGTTGCTGTAAACGTATCATTTATGAATTATATGTTACAGTGACATATAGCAGCGACATGGCGTACATTCATTATTATTCGCCAAGAAACACATAAATATGTATTAAAATGTAAACAGTATGAGACACATGAATAAGTGTAGCATTCCCCGTTCCAGAACAGTTTGGCAACAGTGCTTACATTATGCTACCGAGGCTATATGTAACAGATTACCGGCCGAATGTTTTAAAATAAATTATTTTTTCATATAGAAACACGAGGTGATGTAATAAGTTTTATACGTGGTAGAGTCATGCTGCAGCTATATTGGTAGTATAGTTGTAGCACGGATGGGTCGGCTCGACCGGAGAAGGACCACACTCTCACAAAATACCAGCGTAAAATAGCAGCTTAACATTGCTGTGTTTCGTATGGTGAGTGTAGAGAACCGGAGACCTTTTTTACTGGAAAAGAGGCATTCTATCTTAGTCCTCACAGCTGACAACGCATCTGCATTTTAATTCGCAAACGAAGATAGATAGGTTTAGATGTCTATGGGCCACAGCAACCAGCTAACATCGGGTGGAATGTGTGCTCGTTTGTCACCGTTACACTATAAAAATGTATCTATCACCCCTGAAGACATATATGGAATGCCTTACTCGTCACTAACTTTAGTTAAAATAGCAGCATTACGTCGCAATGCAACTCTCCTTTTATTTTAATATAAAGAAATCTTAACCTATAAAGTTCTTGTGTTATCGTGGTCTGCAAAAATGTATCGTTAACTATGCAAAAGACATATAAAATAGGAACTAAATCACTATTTCTCTATTAGTTTTTGAGAATTTTTAAGTGTTATAGCAAGACCTCTATCAAAGTTCAAGCACCTTATACGCTAAACAAAGTCCACATCTCCAACATGTGAAAGAGTTTAAACGGCGAAATCAAAAATTCATCGCTTACTCATGTTGTGGTATTTCTACCGTATGTTGGCCATAACGTGTTATAATTGAAATAAAGGTCATTTTCATTCGACTGACTTCTCGCCTGATTTCAACCGCGTACAGTACAGCTGGTGTCAAACGCGCCCCCGCCCCGTGCTGCGTCATTGGCGAGATGCGCGTACGCACTTCACTGCGCCGCTTTCGACAAAACGATGACGAATCTTAACATTACCTCATTATACATCGCTCCTTTTATACAGAGTTGTAGTCACTATGCTCTTAAACAACATACGCTGTACGGACTATTTTTAATTATTACGTGATAATTTTTAACGCGATACGGTCCAGTCTTCATTCCGAAAGAGCAAAACTCGGCTCAGTTGTGTATCGGTGCTCTTTATTCGCGGTTGTTCAAGAAGTTCGGTAATTACAATAAGAGATATCGCAGTGTAACGCAATGCACGACACCATACGAAATCAGGTATGCATTTTTAAGCATTACTGCTATTGTTAAGCGAATGCATTTTTATTGCAAAGCGTATTACTTTAATAAACATCCGTTTCATTTTTTCGCGAATATTTGCACATATTTAAAATCATGCCCTTTGATAAATAACTTTTAACCATTTATTGAACTAATTGTTAGGTCTGAGTAATTGTTATAGTATAGATATGCTAGATACTAATGGTTTTATTGAAAAGAGACTTGGACTTTCTGAATAATATTAAACGTGACTCAAAGATGACAATTTTAAGCATTTGTATAATATGTAATCAATTCCCTATTTATAGTATAGTAGCTACACTTACCACGTTTCTTATCAATAACGTGATTACCAGAGTGACATCCAATCGTAGACGTCAAATTGTCTGACCTCAATATTAAGAGTAATATACTCCTTTTTTATCAAATTAAATGACAAACAAAGTTACAGGCCACCTGATCGTAAGAGACTATTGAAGTTCATGGACGTATGTATCCAACTTCAAGCAAACTAGGCTACAGATGCGTTGTCACTTCGGAGGACTAAGATGGAATATCTAATTATCTTCTATATACCCCACAGTTCAGAATACAGCAGTGGACGCACTGCTGCTACGGGCCATGGTATCCACTTACCATCCGGTGTACTTTATGCTCGTTTGTTACCCTTATGCTATAAAAAATTACTATCTAATACGATTAACAAAAATAACATACACATAGAACAGAAATAAAAATACCACCCGCTGTGCGCTTCATAAATAAATAACAAAGTCTTATTAGACAAATTTCTATAAATAATAATCTGCGTTTGTTTTGTCTTTACTCACATATTTACTATGCTTCCACTTAGCATCGCTTGTGTAAATAATAATGTATAATAAAATATGGACGTGCAAATACATTTTTTGGAAATATAATTATCGCGTACTCAAGGCATTTAATTGTTTTATTGTATCGATTTCTAAAATTCTTTTTTTTTTTCAATTATTGTGAACTCCAGATAATTATATACATTCATTGAACAGTAAAATAAGTGACATAAAGCAATGTAATATTAGCGTAGAGATCTAAATTAAAAATGCACATTTTTGGTTGATTATGACACATTTACCATAAAAGTAGCATAAAACATCTGACAGTTATTATGTCTTATTAATTCTTTTCTACCGGCTTCAAAAATGAAGAGGTACTGAATTCCACTGTATGTGTTTTTATGTGTTTAAATTTGATCAAGAACTGACCTATAGTTTTTGAGTTATTTATAATAATTTATATTGATGTCGGTTGTATAAATTTTTTAATTTTAAATTATTACTGTATTTGACACAATAAAAGTGATAAAATCTACAAATAACACAAAGGAGGTAGGTACGTACAGTCCTAAACATATTACGATCTCTACAACCATCCTAGGGAACTTAAACACGTGCCTCTTGTTTATAGAAAAAAGAATGTGTCTCAGGTTGTGTCTGGTTGCCGTCCCACGGACTTTGAGAGTAAGATAATAAAAATGCCCCTATCTTTGGCTAGTTTCCGATGTAATAACCGCCCTGTCGGTAATTTGGTCTGGAGTACATTATTAGTAGGTTAAATTCAATAGAGTCCACCGCTAAGCTTCAACGTTTTCTGACCGCTTTTACATGACTTTTTTATTTATTACTCGAATTACGTAGATTTCTTCAATACGTTCTTCTTCGCCGCCGTGTCTTAACAGATTTGAACAAGTAATGATCGAATTCTGGTTGATAGAGTACTATGAAATTAAAAGAAAGTTCTACACATATAGTTTGAAAGATAAGACTTGTACTCATTTTTATAGAATAAGGGTGACAAGCGAACACACTGTCCACCTGATAGTAAGTGGATGCTGTGGTCCATATCTACATTTATCCTCAATTAAGAATCAAAATGCAGTTGCGTTGTCATCCCTGTGAACTGAGATGGAATGCCTCGTTTCCAGTAAAAAGGGTTTTCGGTTCTCTACGCTCATGCTATATACACATACGAAACACAGCAGCATTAAGCTGCTATTATACGCTGGTATTCTGTGTGAGCGTGATCCCACCACTTACGAGCCGACCCATTCGTGCTGCAACCACAATATAGCTGCTGCATGGCTCTACCACGTAAAACTCTTTTTATGTTTAAAATTCTGAATAGTGTGCAATAAAGAACAAGTTCGAATGTGTTAGTGTTGTGATTGTTTACGTGTCTTTTTACGATACCAGCGGTAAATTAAAAATCTTGTACAACCGACTTCAATATAAATAAAATGAGAACATCATCAATGTAGTCAAAGTCAATTAATAATTAATAATTAATAAATACGCATTATTAAGTATAACTAAAAAACTACTGGTCAGATCTTGATCAAATTATTTATGGAACCACATAGGAAGCACCATCTTTCCAATAAAAAATCGTTAAAATCGGTTACCTAGAAAAAGTTCTGAGGTAACACACATAAAAAATTACAGTCGAAGTGATAGTCTCCTCCTTTTTTTGAAGTCGGTTGAAAATCAAAATAGTCTAGGATTGCATTCTAGCCTTCTACTCTTATCGCTATTAATACATAAGCGATATATTCGACAAGGTTAGGAATAGTTAGTGCCCCTATGTTTGTGCTTTTCTGGTGGCATTGTAATATGAGTCATTAGCTGTGTTGTTGATAGCTTCCGATTATTCGGAATTTGTCACTTTAATTGCAAATCGGCAAAAAGACATCATGGTATCTACATAATTGAACAAACTTGTGTCTGAAGTCGAGTCTTTGCTGAACAAAGTCTCGGATTGGGGACGACTAAATCTAGTCCAGTTTAATTCCTCAGAAGACACAAGTTTGCGCGTTTACCGCTAAAAAGAACCCCTTTGCCGTATCTCCTCAGTTTCAAGGCACTCCCCTTCTTGCCTCAGCCAGTATCGGTATCCTCGGAGTCGACATATCGAGTGACGTGCTGTTTCGTGGTCACTTGGAAGAGAAGGCCAAATTGGCCTCTAAAAAGCTTGGCGTGCTCAGCAGAGCGGGACAGTATTTCATGCCGGCACACCACCTGCAACTTTACAGGGCGCAGGTTCAGCCTCACATGGAATACTGTTCCCATCTCTGGGCAGGGGCTCCCCAGTGCCAGCTCCTTCCATTTGACCGTATCCAGCGCAGAGCGGCTCGAATCGTCGACGACCAAGCCCTTTCCGATCGGCTCGATTCATTGGCACTGCGAAGAGATGTTGCATCCCTTTGCATTTTCTTTCGCATCTACCATGGGGAGTGCTCTGAGGAATTGTTCGGATTAATCCCAGCCGCTAAATTTCACGAACGCACATCGCGGCAGAACTCCCGATACCATCCACACCATCTGGATGATTGGCGGTCCACCACTGTGCGATTTAGAAGATGTTTTCTTCCTCGCACGACTTCCTTGTGGAATCGATTACCATCAGCGATTTTTCCGGACCGATACGACTCAGGGACTTTCAAGAAAAGAGCGTACTCCTTTTTAAAAGGCCGGCAACGCATCTGCAATTCCCTCCCTGGTGTTGCAGTTGTTCATGGGCGGCGGTAGTCACTTACCATCAGGTGAGCCGCATGCTCGTTTGCCCCCTCTCCTATAAAAAAAAAATAATATAAAACAAAGTCGCAAACGTTTCTCCCAAACTTTTTCCAAGACAAGTGGTAAACAATTGTTAGTGTACCACTCTGCAGTAACCGTTTTTCGATCTTTTGAAAACAATTGTTGCGTAATGACCTATCTTTACAAAGAACGAGGCCACCATCTTTTTTCCCACGCTTCGACCTCACTTCGCTTTAGTTGGCAACTCCTCGGAAGGAAACACCCAGACAGCAGACTGTCTCTTAGTTTCAGTATCATAACAATAAATCCAGCTTTAGTCAACTGTATGTCGAACACAGCATTTGAGTCACCGCCGTTAAATCTTTGAACCATTTCTCTGTCTAATTATGAGGTATCCACGGGGCACAAAGTTTCCTGACCGCTAAATGTTCATGGAAAATTTTGTGCGCTTGACTCAAACCGATGCCTAAGCTTGCCCGAATCTGCTGATAAGTCACTCTTTTGTCAGTCTCTATCATAACTGTTAACTTCAGTCGTCGCCGTAGAAGGCCGACCCTCACGCAGATCATCGGTGAGATTAGTGCAATCACGTTTAAGCTCATTAAACCAGATGTAAATAGTAGCACAAGATGGGGCTTCATCGTGAAAGACCAAACGAAGTCTATCAAAACTTTCTTGTTGACTTAAATGACATCGAAAATCATAAAAAATCATTGTTCCATTTTCAAAAAAATTTTACTTATTTTTTTTATTATATCGTTTACAAGTGGCCAGTTCTAAAAACTTTCAGTGTCGCCCTCGTAATACATGCATATTATATATTATATAATTCTATTGTCCTGTTCTGTCACGAGTGTGTGCGCAAGCATGGGTGCACTCTCTATTCTCTCACTCTCATAGTCAGAAATGTAACGGCGATCTGACAAAACTATTGCGATATCTGACGCAGGACCTACCTGCTTTACGTGCTTTTCGAATCATGCGTGGCTAAAACACTGCCAACGTTCTGCCTGCAGGCCGCTCCTAAGAATATTTTGACCATAAAACCCATTAACTGATTTTGGCCCGACCTGGGATTTGTAACCTACTGGGATTTATAACATACGCTATATGTATGTATGTAAGATGTAATGACCTCGTATTATCACTAGGATCATCAGAGTGCTTTAGTTTTTTAAACTCAAATTTTATTATTTTCGTATTGTTGCACGCCACAATAATTAATGCCCGGTACATGGCGACGCTAGTTATCACTAGCACTATCTAGTATCGAGTAGCAGAACTAGGACAATCTAGATCCATCTAGAAATTTCCATAGATGAACTTTCTAGAACTATCGACATCTAGTCAGTCGGGACCGGTATGTACTCGAATATTCTAGATGTTTCTACAGTAGAAGGTACTGGAACTATAGGTCCTATATAA